CTAGTCTGTTCTGTGTTTTCATTGGTTTTAGTTCTGCTCTCTGTGACCTAGTTTCCCTGTGTTGATTAGTTCATTCGTTTCCACCCGTGTTCATTATTTATCTCATTAGTCCCAGTGTTTATGTACCCTTAGTTACTTCTGGTCTCTGTCTGTCTTGGTTTGCACTTACGTTTGGTTGTGTTTTACTAGTTCTCCTGGGAATTCTACATTTAAACCCTGAGTCTGAACATTTTCCTTCGTCGTGCACTTTTTGTGACTGTTAGGGTTAGGACTGTTTCCTTATAAAAGTCCAAATATTTGTCAAGTTTTTCGTCAGGTGTCTTTTTTAATTATATGATGTCATTACGTTGCTGTCTTGCCGCAGCCAATCATTGCTGATCGTGGTTTCGAGTATCGATACATAGCCCCTTTTAAACCAACCCATGAACACGCAATTATCTCAGATAACTCAATCCAGCCACAATCATCAACAACAGCTGCGTTCGAAGAACCGAATTAGCCAGCTCCTGATTAGCGCGATCATATCATCTCGGATGTAATAAGTGACGTATGAAGAACGGGCCCCTGAATCAAACGACACCGTTGTTTAGCAAAGGCTTCAGCTTGCAGGCAGTTGGAGTGTGAACTCTGTGTGTGTGTGTGTGTGTGTGTGTGTGTGTGTGTGTCTGGGCTGCTAGCTACAGTCTTTCATGTCAGGAGAAGTAAACAGGAACCCGGGCCGGTCTGTGGTCAGAGGTGGAAACCAGGCCACTGTAACCGCCAGTGAGGAAGGAAGAGGTAGAGAGATACAAACCATGAGCTTGACTTCTTGTTGATCCATTATGAGTTTTCACCAGCTTTTCTGTCTGTCCTGTCCCACACTCCAATGTTCTCTTTTATTTCTGTACTGATTGAACAGACAACTTGCAAACATCTGGGACGTTGGATCTGTCAGCGTGTGTGTGTCTGCAGCCGAGCCAGTGTGACTGCAGCGGTTCTGTCTGCCGCCCAGTAAAGATGAACGCTCTAAATCAGTGTCAAACCCGCTTAAACGTTACTGTGTCATTGCCGCCTTCTTAATTATGGCTAGATTCATTAAATGTTCTTAGAAATAAAATGATTATTTTGTTACTTAAGAAAAAAATTACGAATATTTTGTATCCCCAAAAACATTTCTTAAGAATATTTTAAGCTTTATTTTCTTACCATTGTACTAAAAGGAATAGTTGACCCAAAAATGAAAATGTGCTCACCCAAGATCAGGATGAGTTTGTTTCTTCATCAGGTTTGTAGAAATGTAGCATTGCATCAGTGTCTCAGCAATGGATGCTCTGCAGTGAATGGGTGCCGTCAGAATGAGAGTCCAAACAGCTGATAAATAACTCTTCCTCCAGTGAAAAAGCACATCTCCTGTTGTCTCTCACATCAAAATCCAGCCACACATGTGTTTAGAGCTGTTTAAACGCTGCTTGATCTGTGCAGATTTCTCTCCTGATTCACACCAGAACACTGACTCACTGGAGGAAGAGTTATTATGGATTATAGACTCGTATTTAAGTTAAAAGCATCTTAATGATGGATTTGCTTCAGCTTTTGTCTTCTCCAGATGTTAACTGATGGACTGGAGTGCTGTGGATTACTTGTGAATTATTGTGATGTTTTTATCAGCTGTTTGGACTCTCATTCTGACGGCACCCATTCACTGCAGAGCATACCTGCAATCCATTGTATAAATCAAAACTTGCCTATGTCTTCTATTGAAAGCAGCTCTTTAATATGCATTCAGCTTGTGAACAACTCTTTGCTGCAGGTAAAGAACATTCATTTCCATTTGTATTTGAAACTGTATCAAAAAATGAACATCAAAATATGGAGACAGTGTTTTTGATGACAGCGGCCTGTGCTCCAGTAAAGGCTAGAAGCACTCCTGCATCGTGTTTGAGCTTTGCAAGACACTGACTCGCTGCTCATGACAGGATGTGCTGTGATGAACTTCCTGCACTCCAGCGTGGCTCCGATATCCTGCTAATGCATCGCTGTGAGAGTCTGTGACCCTTTCCTCCTTCGGTCGGGGGTGTTCATTATTACTGTTGTATGAATGTTCATCATTAAAGACGACTGATGCTCTGTGTCTCTAACAGTCAGAGCGATGGATGTGAGAGCGGATTCACATGTGAAGCATTCCATCGCTCTGATGTCACAGTCACCTTACAGTCAAAGCCATGCTGAGTTTGAAAACACGCTCGCTATAACCTCCCGAGCATTTCCTTTAGTTTCTCAGAGTAATCGGTGAGACTCTGCTCTCGTGTTACAGTGAGTCACTGCAGTCTGTGAGAGAGAGGGAATTAATGTGTGTGGATGATGACGTATATCTGCTCGACTGCAGGGAGGCCTGGGAAACGAAACCAAGAACAAACAGTCATGATGTCTTTGTCTCTGCTATTGGAAATATTGACATTCCCCGTGTTTGACTTTCTGTCACAGCTCGAGTCAGGAGTCACGGCTGATGCCAGGATCGAGGATCGAGCCGCTGGAGCTCACGCAACGTGAAAACTACAGCGCTTTAACATCTTCACTGAGCGTTTGTGAGCGCTGACTAGTGTAAGCCATATGGTTACAATGCGGAAAACGTGCATGTGTCTCTGTGTGAAAAAAAAAAATATATATTTTAGTTTGATTACTTTTTAAAAGATTAATTAAATTGTTGTTGTTTTATGCCTTGATTTGATTACCACAGTTTTCTGAAAAAATAAATAAAAAAAATAAAATAAAAACATCATAGGCCCTATTATTGTAAAAATATAATAAAAATTAAATTAATTAGACATGCTTTTTGATCATTAAAATTTAATTAAACCAATAAAACAGATTCCAAAATCAAAATACAGAATTTGAGAAAAATAAAACTACATTTGGGATAACATAAAACAGATTTCATAAGGCCCTAAAATGTATTTTGTGTTAAACTTTTAATAAAATGTTGTTTAATTGTTTTGTGATTTCAATTAATTATAAATACTCAGATTCGATATAACTATAGTCCAGTAATCAAGGATAACATAAAATAGATTTTTGCATAAAATTAAACATTTCATATGGCCCTAAAAATGTAATTTTCGTTAAACTTTTAATAAATTGATTTAAATTGTCCAAGTTTCATTATTTTAAAATTAATTAGACATGGTTTTTGATTATTCCAATTAAATTTAACCATTAACACAGAATGAGCAGCAAATCAGCATATTAGAATGATTTCTGAAGATCATGTGACACTGAAGACTGGAGTAATGATGCTGAAAATACAGCTGCGCATCACAGAAATACATTACAGTTTAACAGATATTCACATAGAAAACAGCTGTTTTACATTATAATAATATTTCACAGTTTTTAACGTATTTTTGATCAAATAAATGCAGCCTTGCTGAGCAGAAGACTTCATTAAAAACATTTTAAAATCATAATGTTTCCAAACTTTTTACAAGTACTGTATAATATAAAGTATATAATATATAAAAATATAATTTCATAGGGTCCTACTAGACTAGTGCATTGTCCAAAGTCCAAATAATGGCCGTCTGAAATGAACCTTATACACTGGTGACATTTACACTGTAAAGTACTGTTTTATTCCTGTGATTAATCAGCATAAAGCTATAAGGTTTGTTCAGTAATGCTAATGAATGCCGCACTCTCTCATTTCAGCAGGAGAAACTGCACGTAACGGACGTTCAGTCAGTTTTTCAGGCCGTTAACATCACTTGAAGAAGTCCAAACCCTCTGATGGCCCCTTGTTTACTGCTGTTGCTGAAGAGGGAGTTTTCAGCGCACAAGCTGAAATATTGTTTTGCAGTCATTTGCAATCTTCCATTTAGCTTAATTACCCTACAGCTGGTTTCAGTTTTTTTCTGCGGCAGAACTTTCTCACCGCTAATCTGAGCTGGTTCCACTGCTGTTGAGAGTTAGAGCGAAACACACCCTCCAATTCAGAAACACAGCAGCCACAGTACAGGCTAAAAGCAGATCTTTGTTTCATTAGCACTCTTAGCGGGCTCCAGGCTAATGCTAACCCAGCATTGCCGAGGCTTTGAGACAGATGTGAGTCTCTCTGAGGTTGGCGTGTTCTGCTGGGATTCGGTTTATTGCATCGTTTCCCACCAGCAGAGGCTCATGGGAATCTGAACATGGGCTTCCCAAAACGCTGCTTTGAATTGCCCTGGCTAGAGTACTTGTTGTCTGGCTAGTGTACTTGCTGTCTTGCTAGTGGACTTGCGTTCTTGCTAGTGTACTTGCTGTCTGGCTAGTGTACTTGTTGTCTGGCTAGTGTACTTGCTGTCTGGCTAGTGTACTTGCTGTCTGGCTAGTGTACTTGTCTTGCTAGTGTACTTGCTGTCTGGCTAGTGTACTTGTTGTCTGGCTAATGTACTTGTTGTCTTGCTAGTGTACTTGCTGTCTGGCTAGTGTACTTGCTGTCTGGCTAGTGTACTTGTTGTCTGGCTAATGTACTTGCTGTCTTCCTCTGATTCATCTGGAGGAAACACAAGGCATTCGACCAATCAGGATCTTAAAACAATCGTTCCGTCATCATTTACTCTCCCTCATGTTGCTCCAAACTTGTGTGACTTTTATTCACATTCAAAATGAAGATATTTTTAATATTCTCTCAGCATTTTTGTCCATCCATTTCATGCATCCAAAACTTCAGAAAGGCATTGTTAATGTAATCCATATGAATGCAGTGGTTTATTCCAAGTCTTCTGAAGAGGCACGAGCTGCTTCTAAAGTTCTATATTTCAGTTTCGCTGTTTCAGATGTTTTGCTTTCTGTTGGACTGTAATATTTTGCAGACATCTCACAGCAGACGGATGAATGACAAACACTGAACAGAGTAAAAGCACTTGCTCCTAAAGCTGCTAGTTGCCTCATTTGCATTTTTCCTCTGTAGTTTAGCAGTTGGTAGTGTTGTGTCATTTCTCAGACTTTATGACATTTCTAATGTGTCTCAATATTTCTTCTTTCAGATCGTATCTGCTGCAGCGGTGACCAGAGGAACAGGATGATTTGCTCAGTAAGTGTCCTTGTTTTCTTCCTCTTCACATGATTGTTCAGCTTGACTAATGTTTTTTGTGAGGTCAGAGTTTGCGTTCACATCTCCACTCCTGATTATAGTCTCGTCTCTTCAGATCTCTGGTCTCTCTTATGTGGGCTGGAGGTGTGGGTTAGGTCTAGTTCTAGTTTTAACATGACACATATATTGTGTTTTCATAGCGTGGCCCTGCCTTGTGTCATACGTACAATATTACATTTCCCTGACAGTATCTCAGCAATATTTCCGGTCTTTTCAGCAGTTTCCAGTAATATTTAGAATCAAAAGTAGTGATGCCTGATTAAAAAACGAATCAGAGTTTGAGTCAGTTCTTATCAATGAATGAGTCAGACAGGACTTCCTGCACTTACTATACTTCACACTTAAGTACAGTAAAAGTACTAAAATTTGTTATAATAGTCATTTCATAATAAATCCAAAAGCAAGATGTGAAAAAAAAAACTAGGGAGTGGAAATGGCAGTTAACGAGTGATCCTCTGCTGCCACCTACTGGTTATAATGGTAATTTCATGTCATTTTCATCTTAAAAGTCTTTGTTTTCCACCAGGAGACACATTTCTGGCACATCTTCATGAATGAAAAGTGAATCTTAAAGTAAATTTTATTGCACAAATATAAAAAAAAGTAACTTAATTTTAGCTAAAATTTAGATGTAAAATAGTCATGTACACTTAAAAGCATTTATATGTGTATACTAAAAAGTGGATCAGTTTAGTACCATGAAGTTTTGAAATAGTAAAGTACTGAAAAAGTACATACAAGTACACTACTAGTACATTGATATTAGTATACTTGCTACATGAAGAATGGAAAATATATTTGAACTTTATTAAGTTTAGTGAGTGAGTGATTTGATGTGTAGCCACATATGTTGTCCGATACTCGGACAGTCGTGGTATTGAGGGTGGAAGAGAGTGCTGGTCATTCACTCCCCCCACCTACAATCCCTGCCGGACCTGAGACTCGAACCTGTGACCTTCGGGTTACAAGTCCGACTGTCCAGAGTCAGACTGAACCCGATGATTGTTCCTCAGAGATGATTGAGATCATAGTCAGTCTCATTCCTGACTGTCAGCTCTCATTCTCAAAACATGAGGCAAATTCACTGCTGTCTGTAGATAACAGTAGAGGAACCTGATGCACTGCTGACCGTCGCATCAGAAGCTGTTATACCTCGCTGTCCAGCTTGTTCTATATGAAACCTGAATCTTGAAGAGTGATGTCATAATATGACATCATGAGGACGAACTGTCACATCGTGAGCAACGTTCGGCTCCACGTTCACATCTCTGTCAGACCTCGCTGCTGCAGATTGGCCGCAGAATAATGAGATTCTTGATCATCTTATAAGAGTCGAGCGAGGTCTGTGTGCAGGAGCCGGCTGACTAACAGCAGTTTATGAGCTGGACTTCCCCTCATGTGAGTGTGTGTGTTTGTTCAGCCTGTTCTCATTATCCGGCTGTTTTACTTATGCTTGGGAAGTGCTTGTCAACAGGAGTCTGCCGGAGGGAGACAGACACCGTGTGTGTGTGTGTGTGTGTGTGTGTGTGTGTGTGTGAGAACACCGCCAGCGACTGATCTACTTCTGTCACCTCGCACCACATGATCATGTACACAAATCACCAAACACAAAACAGATCTACCATGTAAATAGCATGGCATTATCATCAGAGACTGAACAGAATCTGTTTCCCGTTCCAGCTGTGCTGAAACATCAGTCTAGTCACTGTGTGTGAGTCTGAATGCAGCTGATGGTCTGTTCATTGATTACATGAGCATGAACAAAGCCGTTTCTCTCCGCCTGTCTTTCGATGTTGTGTGTGTGTGTGTGTGAGTGTGAGAGCGTGTGTGTGTGTGTGTGTGTGTGTGTGAGCTCATGGCCCACATCCGAGTCGTGCCAGGACAGGAAGTGGAACAGCATGAGACGCTCCTCCTGCATCAGTGAGCGGCGCTGCTCTCATTTATGAACAGATCAGGGTGTGTTTGTCCATCTGTGTGTGTTCATCAACACAATGAGACGCCGGAGATGATAGAGCGTCTCAATGAGCTGTTGTTTGTTGGGCTTGTAAAACAGTCACATGTGTGTGATTTATTCTTTCTGTGTTGAAGCTCATTGTAATCCGGTTTACGGTGTCTGATGAATTAGCGTACAGAACTTCATGATATTCAGCGGATACTGACTCACTGTTGTTCATGGACACAAACATTTTTCAGCACATCATGAATGGATTGTGTAAAGGAACCCTTGACCTTTGACCTGCTGTAAGCATCAGCATACTCCCTGCATTTGTCTCAGGTCATTTGGCTTTTTTACTTATCAAACTCTTTTCTTTTTTTGCCATTAAAAGTAATAGTTCAAAAAGTTCCAAAAATGAAAATTCTGTCATCATTTACTCACACTCATGTTTTTCTAAACCTCTATGAGTTTCTATCTTCTGTTGAACACACAATATTTTGAAGAGTGTGGGTAACCAAACAGTTTCTGTCCCCATTGACTCTCATAGTTTATTTTTTTTTTAATAGAGATCACGACTTCCCCATGATTCTGAATAGAACTGAACAAAATTGCATGCAATTTTCTAGAGGTTCTGACAAAATGTTAATTTCTGTCTCAGTAAATAAGTAACTAAATAAATAAATGTTTACTTCCACTTCGAGTGGAGTTGACCTGTGGCAAATTCAGATGAATGGGCATGATTTGGAAAGGCACACACCTCTCAATAAAAGGTCTAAAAGTTGAAAATGAATATCACAGAAAAAAAAACAAGCTCTGAGGTCAAAAGAATATATATATATATAATTTGAATGAATTATTTAAAAAATCGGTTTGAATGACTGAATCAATGACTCATTCATAAAGACTTCACCTGCTTCATTGCTGGATGAATCTGTGTTTTTGAAAGAATCTCTTGAAAGAGTGATTCAATGACAAATACATTTTCTATCAGTCACTTGTTGCCACCTACTGGCATAACAATATAATTAATACAGTCTTTATTTGAAGGGTAAAAGTTGCATTACTCCATTTTACATTTACATTACGTTTACATTTAATCATTTCACAGACGCTTTTATCCAAAGCGACTTACTGTGACAAGTCTTGGTTAGTCTAACGCAGTACACGTAGCAAGATTATTTATGTATTTAAACAATAAATAAACAGAAAACAAGTAGATAGAATAGAAATAGAATAAAGAATGCTAGTGTTATTAGAGTGCTATTTTGATCACTACTGTAGACATCAGTGTTTACAGCCGAACTAAAACATTTTATCCCAGTACTTCTGTGATTATTTGAATGTTTGTAACACAGAAATAATGATACTGTGTGGTCGAATGATTGTTTGTGAGCTTGTTTCATATCTAGAGAACTGCTCTTTCTTGGTCAGCAACAGCATGAACACAGATTTGAATGTTCGCTGTGATCATACTTGTTGTCATTTAGGAATACATTTCTCAAAGGGTGTTTGTTTAGCAATCAGTCATGCAGCTCTATGGTGTCCTGTATGTGAAATTAGAATTACCTGGTCTCTATTCCCAGTGAGCACAGATTTACCAGATTACGGAGTTATTTCTGTTTTTAACCATTTTTTTTTATTTGTGAAAACTACTATAATAGGATTACAAAGAAGCTGGTATTTAAAATAAAGTTTATTTATTTTCTTCATGTTCACATTTTTACTTTTTTTCAAACTGATTCATTTTCAAATTAATTATGTCTAACTTCTTAATCAAATATTATGTTAAATAGCTTGCAGATATTGTTATGCATGTGCTATTTACTATGTGATATCATATATTGGCTGTGTATCAGCAATCTATAATCTTTTTAGCATTTGAATGTGAATGTTTGTGTTTTCAGAGAGGAGTCGTCTGGCATGAGGGGTTCAGGGTGTTTTCTCGGCTCTTGTTGACTGATCAAGAGAAGCAGAAGTGTTTTTGTGATCTGCTGGCAGTTTGCTCACATCCCACGCTCTGAGTCAAGCATTCTAGCGCTGATCCAGGACCAGCCTCTGCAGACGCACCACAGCCATCTGAAAGAGCGTGAAGCTGACTTCAGATCAGCAGCTGATGTGATCGCAGACGCAGATAATCGAGCCTCTTCCTGAGGAAGAAGCAGGCCTGACTGTGTGGCACGAAGGTCTCCTCAAGCCGGATGTTTGCAGTGCTCAGTCGCACACCTGCAGCGAGACGCGGGCGACACGTTCAGTGTGACAATGTTTACTGGGCCTGCTGCGGTTGAGATCTGCTGCTGAAGTGAAACGGCGTGGGCCGCGTGTGGCTCTCTTCCAGAGGATGCATTTTGAAATATTTTGATAAAGTAGAGCACTGGTGTGTGAGAGCCTGTACAGACCAGACTCTTCATGCCGGTCCAGGTGGGCTGCTGCTGCTTAGTATTGGTTTGATGTTGGTTTTGTTGGTTTACCCACACAGTCACACTGTTCACCAGCAAAACATGACCGATGAAGCCGCTTGTCCCACAGAGACCCTGGGTTGAAGATGGTAGATCTCGAGCACCGCTGGTCTGTTCATCAGGGGAGTTTAGTTAAAGAGTTTTGTTAGAATATACAACGGATGTTTCCACCGATGAGCCAAAATTGGATGAGAAACCAATTAATAATAATAATAATAATAAGGAACAGAACCAAATAAACATCAACATCAAAGCACAATATTCATACCAAGGGCTGAAAGTAATATACAGAGGTCGCTTACAAAGTTACAAACAAAGAGGGACTCAATAACATTGGATGAGACGCCAGCAGTTACAGCAGAAGTCAATGTCTCTCTCATCTCACTGAGCTGATTGAGTTTTAACAGACCTGCTAAAGCGTGCGCTGGGTTTGATGGGGCGTCACTGAGAATATATGGGGTAAAGTCATGTGAGAGGAGGCAGTGCCTCCATAGTGCTACGATTGGCCTTAACGCAATACATCCCGCCTGAATCAGTCTGAATGAACAAATAATGGTGTTAATGGGAAGACTCATTTAAAAGTAGTCAACAACGCACACACTTGTTAGCATTACTTTGTCATGTCACATTCAAACTTGAAATGACCTGAAAACAATAATCTTTGAGGGTTTTTTAAGTGTGCAATCTGTTTGGTCAAATTAAAGACCCATTTCAGTGTCTGCAGTGTTTACTGAGCTTTGATGACTGATGATCCGATTATTAAAAAGAACAGCTGAACATCAGTTTACAAATAAGACATACATGGATTTTATTTACCGTGTTAAGTTATTATTTGGGTATTAATGTAAAAAATATTATTTATACTTGAGTTTAATAAATAGAACGTATTTATTGCAGTGTAAACATACAAAATACAATAGTATTTGTTTGTTTTTTGAGCGTAAGTGATGTTTAACCTGGAAAGTGTCTAATGAGTGTAACTGGAACATGAATTTACATTGGATTAAAGCACAAGCAAACAAACAAAGCGTGTCCTTATTTTAGAAGCGCACCACACTCGCACTGGAACACACTTATCAGTCGCCTTTCACAGCTTCAAGAAATGTGACACACTTTCAAAACAAACACTTTCAAACAGGAAGCGGTGGGTTCAGCCACTAAGAATATTTCCAGACTGTTGGTGCAATGAGACAATGAGACGAGACGCGCTGTGTGTCGATGGCGGTTCAGCGAGGTGACACTTACGCTTGCCTTTTGAAGTGCTTGGCTTTCATTAACAGCGTCACAAAGGAAAGTCAATCCTGTACGGCGCTTCAAAGGCTCGGGTCATTAGGACCAATGGCCCAGAAACAGGTGGAGGGAGAAGCTCAGTCTGAAAAGCTGCCATGTTCGAGTCTGGTTTGTGTTCCTTCTTGTGCTTTATCTTTATATTAGTCAGAAAATCCCTTAGCATTAGTTTGGACAGTGTACTTGAAATTACTGTTTATTTGACTTGGGATAGAAGACATTCATCATTTTGGTCTTGACACCAATGAACTTTGCTAAATGTCAAAACCGAGCCTCCGAGGATCAATACGGCCTCGTTTCTCATACATATCTTGCCTAAAAGCTTCCTGCATGTTCGTTAGAAAAAACACCAGCTTTCAAATAGCCTAAGCAGTAAATATAGCCCACACTGCCTGGCTGATGCAATTCACAGAAAGCTGCGGCGGCGCATGCATCCGTGCAGAATGTGTGCATTTGGGCTCATCACTCCACGCCGCACGACTCCGCTGGGTGCCGGGTCGGATTTGGCCTCGTGTCCTGCAGGGTCTCCCAGAGGACCAGACTGAATTACGTAATATACTGGAAGTGCTCACAACCCTAAACGCTGATGACTCACACGCCGCTGCCTCTATGTGCATTACAGCGAGATGCATCCGATGTCAGAGTATATGGATCAAGTGCTAGTTTTGAACACTTTCTGATAGAAGCATAGAGACACAGATACTTGGAAGATTATCTTTCAATATTTCAACACTCCATTTGTATCTAGAGATGCAGTGGCAATTACTTCAAATAAATATTGCTGGTTGGATGCTGGTTCAAGTTCTTCTTAACCAGCAAAACCTGATCAGAAGACCGTACACACAGACATATAATTTCATATATCTATATCTATATATATACTGTATACAATATATATATATATATATATATATATATATATATATAGACACACACACAAACACACATACACTTCTGTTCTGTAATTTAACTTCTCTAGTTGTGTACTTTTTCTGGTTTGCGGTACTGCTAATGTTGGTTCCTTTATGATAAATTAAGTTTGTGCTTTCCCCTTTTACAATAAAACTATTAAACATTCTGATAAAATCATCTGCCAAATGAATAAATGTACTGTAAATATGTAAGCATAGCAACGTGAACATATTTTATCTGGGGTT